CTCCAGGCCGACCCCGCCGGGGTCTACGCCCTCCTCTCCGCCGGTCCCCAGCCCTTTCAACGCCCACTGGAAAAGTTTGCGGGAGGCAGCTTAAAATACATGTGTGTATATATATATATTGTTTCATTCTTTCGAAGCCGACCGCTTCTGGGAGACTCCGGGCCCCGCGCGGCCGGGAGGGACTGAGGCTCGATGTGTCCTCCTTGCCGAGGCCCCTCCGGCCCGCGCCGGCTCCTTGGGAAAACTTCCTTCTGCAGCGTTAGCTCTCGGCTGCCAGGCGGCCCGCGCCCGCGAAGGGCGCAGAAAGGGAAGCGAGCCGGGCCTGGGCCGTCGCCAGATCCGGGTGGTCCTCCACCTTCCCTGCCTGGGGACCCAGATGACTGCCGGCCACTGCCTTGCCATGTGATGTTGGGGTCACAGGACTGGGACATTTGGGTTCGGGCCACTGACCTTATCTGGATGGATGCCACTGAAACCTAGTGGTTTCGGAGCGTAAGTCTCCAGCCCCTTCAGAACCCCTTCCTGGACGTCGGCTTGGAACCCCGCAAATGTTCCTCTCCTGGGAGGACCGCATCTTTTCCCGACAGACAGCTGACGCTCTTGGAGGTGCCGGCAGGGAACCGGGGAGACTCCCGGGTTCATTTCCGCGCCTCTCTCCTCCTGCATCCTGCCCTCGCTTCCTTTCCGTTTGATTACTTGCGGGGAAGAGTCTCACTCTCCGCACACCGTTTCTGCTTTTTGCTGCTTCCAAATTGTCCGGCTTGAAAAGAATCAGTGGGTCTGCTAGAACTGCTTAGTGACCAAGGCGGGATTCTTGTAGCCAGGACCTGCGGAGAGAGCCGGCTTTTCGCCACCTCCACCCTTTCTTTTGGAAGCCTTATTTTGTCGGCTGTGGCGGATTTATATATTTTAGTCTTAGCAGGTTTCTGTCCTATTTTTAGTATCTCCTGTACATTTTTGTTCCAGTTTAGTGTTTGGATGCACGATCTCGTTCTCTTTAGAAATTCTAAACTGTAGCATGTGAAATAGAATGACATGGAAACGGCGGTTCCCAGAGGATCGGCCGAGCTTCTCAGCAAGAACTGGAGCCACTCCAGTTGTAACGAGTTCTGCACCCGCGTTGCAGTTTCTCCTCGTGTTCTCACAGGACGAGGTGTCGTTTCAGAGCCGGTGACCGGTGACAGCCCAAGCATCCAGCAAAACCCATTAATTCTGTTATAGGGTGTGTTAATCACCTCCGCACCCTATTGCAACTAATATTTTAAGATTTAAAATGTTTGTGTTGAAGAAAGACAAAAGCCGGGGTTGAGTTTATTTCTGTTGCATTGCGGGTCGTTTGTAAGAGCTGGCCTATTTCTCTCTCCATCCCCAAAACGATAGGAAGGGAGAAGAAGGTGCTAGGGTGAATTAATATTTAGCATCATTTTGTAGTTCATGCACTAGTGTTAAACATAGAGGCCCTTCTGAATTTATTCTTAGGGTTATTTTTCACTGGTCAACTGAATTTCATTTTCTATTATATTATATCATGAAAACATTCACTGTTCATATACTGTCACTGTGAAAGCATCCCATATCACACAGAGCCTCTCTGTTAGGGTGAACCCTGTCCCCCAAAGAACCCAGTGCAGTGTGGCATTGAAAGCTGAAAGTCAGTGTGACATTCTTTTGTCTGACCTGTTCCTGCCGGCAAAGAGTTAATGATGAGCAAGTCATTTTGGCTAAACAAATCAGGTTACCTGGGGAGGTTTATTGTAATATTTTGTTTGTGTGTGTGTGTGTTTTTTTTTTTTCCTTAGGGAGCTGCATCTTCCTAATATTGGTTTTGTGTCCCCTGGGAATGGTTTGAGAGGTGCTCCCTCTTTCTTGATGGTGAGAGGATTTGGGGAGGAGAAAGGCTCAGCAGAGCCTGCTGTGTGCCTCCCCATCCCCCGGGGCTTGCTTTCTTCTAGGCCTAAATACCTATAGAGCGGGTGGGGGTAGGTATCCTGCACCTGTACCTATATTTAGCGTTCTCTTTTGTCCTAACTTCCATCTGAGCTAACAGGCCCCCACTGCAGACCATGCTGAACTCCAGTCAAAAGGTCGCTTTATAATCTAGTGTTTCAGGACTTTAAAGGCATTTTCCCCTTAAAAGTGATGCGGTCTGGGTCCCAGAAACCAAGCTAGCTCAGAATGTCAGTAGCTGTGCCACTGGTTGAGTCTATAGTTCAAGGAACAAGAGCTCTTTGGTCTAAGACCTTTGCGGACTGAACACACACACACAAATAGGCCACGTTTTTCTAGGGCAGTCTTCCCTCATCCCTCCCCATCACCACTTTTTAATACCTCCCTGAAAGCGTTTTCCCATCATTCTCAAATCTTAGGGCCCAGTTTAGTCTTAGGGCATTATATGCCTCTACATTTTCCCTACCTCTCCATCTGATAAAAATTCTCGTTCTGGGACCAGCAGATAGTGCAATGGCTACGTCGCAGGACTCCCATGTGTTGACCGCGGTTCGAATCCCGGACCCGGTGGCTTAAACTCATGCCGGCCACGTGTGTATGCATGCCCAAGATCCCCAAGAGGAGAATGGAGAGGGGATTGTGGCATGGCCATCCCCTTGGGGGGTCATTTCTCGCTGTCTGTCTCTCTATCTCTCTCTGTCTTTCTGGTGAGTGCATGCACCCT